TGACTGCAGAAAGAAACTTTCAAGAGAGCTGGACAAGCTCTTGCTGGGGTTACCAGATCAGCCTGTCTGTGTGGGTCCTCTATGTGGGGCCTTCAGGCTTTGTGGACAAACAGCCTTGCAGACTAAACAGTCACCAGGGAAGGCTGGTCACAGGCCAGGCTGTGGGAGTAGAACAACTCTTGGAAATATTAACTGGTAAAAACTAAATCAACTACATATTTGGATAGAAAGTTACGAATGTTATTCAACGTAGATAATGTTGTGTCCTACGTCTGTGCAATGTTAACAACCCTGTTTGCAGGCTAGACGGTACTGTATAGATATTGATAAAATATTGTGAAAGAGACTTGAGGGTAATGATTAGCACATAATTAAAATCTAGGTAGCAGTCTGCCATTGCGCGAAATAAGGCATGAAAGATACATAATTTCATATCTTAAAGCGTTAAGAATGGAAATAAAATCTGTGTTAAATTATATCTTGCGCTCGCTTTTTATGTTGTTTAAATCAACCTGTCCTCAGGAAGGAGGTACCCCTGGAGGCAATCACTTCAAAACCACTACATAATTACTGCTATTATCTACTCCATATCCATGGTTAGGCTAAGGTTATGTTAGGCTAGGTTATGTTTTATTATGTTTAGTTACGTTAATATGGTTTATAATTCTCAAACGTGAGATATGAAATTCTAAAACTATTTGAGTATCCCCTAGAGTTTCATTTATAGAAAATCAAATTCTTCATCCAATTTCAAAGAAAACGAGTTAAGCATAGATTATATTTTAGACCAACGATTTATAATGCAATAAAGTTATAATTTGAGAATAAATGTTTAAAATAAAAGTTCACTTGCTAGTTTACAAATAGCCTATTATTGGAACCGTAATATACTTTTAAACCATGACAAATACAAATATCTAAATAACTCTCCACTTGTGTGAGAATGGGTTTGATGTCTTGTAGTAATCATTTTATCGTGAGGACGGGCTCGTTCAATGTCGCTCACCAGTCACCATATTTTGCAATGGAAATTAATATTTTTGAAAATATACTTGGTATATAATGACAAAGTTAAATCTCTTGTACTGGACATCTTTTTTATAAAGAGAGGTTAAGCGAGTTTAAATTACACTCTTGAAAGATGTAATACAAGGAGCGCGAGAGACGATGTAAATCAACAAATGGACGAAAGACATAAACAAGGTCTTAAATCTTAAAATAATTAAACCAGAATTACACAAATTCCAATTTAAAAGGAACATAGACAAACATTTGTTTGGTAATATCGTTATAAACAAGTGGAATAAATTACCAGATAACATTTCCGAGTCTAAGAATTTAGTAAGTTTTAATAATTATGGATATTGACAAGGATGAAAATGGTTGGTTCTAAACAAGACTTGCCACAAATAAACCTCTAGGCCTACCTCAGTGTTCCTACTTATATTCTTATGAACACAACCAAAGACCGCTCGACGCTGCATGCAATGTTAAATGGGATTCTTGTAATGTTATTTGTCTATTTGTACTCACTAAATTTGTGCGTCCCTTGAGGGGACTTGAAGTAGAGGGGGGGGGGGTAGAAATAGCCTAAGCTACTCTACCCCTTTGAGATGTATTTCTTTCTTATCTCAATAAACATACTTGAACTCGATGTTGCACCTCGTCCCCTGCAACAATTATGGTGGCCAGTTAGGCTTTCATCGGCTGTTAACTCAGAAATAACGTGTATGCTCCAACTCGTACACATCATAATCTGTTTCTTCCTCTCCTCTGTGATAGGATACATAAGCTAATTTTTGTTAGGGGAAAGCGCGAGGCATATATATGCACTAAATCCTTATCCTGGTTAGGATGGGATGATGGTAAGGAATGGTGCTAACACGTGACTAAAAAAAAAAGTCAATGTTATTAATCTAGTTAAATATATACAGTATTGATTTGGGAGAATGTAGCACTTTCGAAACTGAAACAACATTAATTCGCCCACCTTAATACTGTATAATTTTGAACTTAAGCAGTTCAAATTTATAACCTTGAACTCAATTAATTTTTAATCCAGTGATTTAAAAATTGACAGCTGAAGTCACCTAAGCACAATTTAACACGAAATGAAATGATCGAATTAAGAGCATGTGTGTGTGTGTGTTTCACATTCACTTAAACAATAACGCAGACATGGTATTCATGCCTTGCAACATTTGTGATGAATATTCAGATGTTACTCTGCCACTGCATCTTGCCGTTAGGACTCCACACTTGGATTATGTGGACAGTGGTGGTGGGGGCCATGTATTCACCTAGTTGTATTCACCTAATTGTGCTTGCGGGAGGGTTGAGCTCTGCTCTTTCGGCCCGCCTCTCAACTGTCAATCAACTGTTACTATTTTTTTTTAGTAGTGGTGAAATATGGTGATCGTATATGGTGTAGGGGTCACATGGTGTGTAGTAGTGGTGGTTTTATAGTGTGTTTGGGCATGTGGTTACGTCTGATGGTGGTAATATGTTGTCATTGCACAAGAGATGATGACCATGCGGCAACATGGTGAAGGTGGCACTATGAAGTGGTGATGTGTGGCAGTGGCAGTGTGATGGTGTGGTTGAGAAGTGTGGTGGTGCCGTTGACTCTTGTCCTTGGATGGGTGTAAGGTGGGCGGGCGAGGCAGTGGGGGGGAGTATATGCGTGCTTAGTTCCTCAGTTGATCTGAGGTGCTCAAGGTGGAATCACATGGACGTTTCCGGGATTAACACGTCTTCATACATAACAACTTTGAAGCCTAACACTGGTATGTGTATATATATATATATATATATATATATATATATATATATATATATATATATATATATATATATATATATATATATATATATATATTATGTATAATCCCTAACTGAAACAATATATATACCATAAAGCATAACAGTTCACAACCACGTTTACTGGGCGTGGATCCATCGGTTAGCTTTGGTCAATTTAGTGCATTTTCTCTGTTGTGACAACTTGAGAGGACTGGCTGATACATGATTGTTAGACAAAATTCCTGACGAAGTGAGATCAGCACTGGTAAATTGCGCTCCACTGCCGTGGTCTTTGTTCTCAGTTATCTGACGTTTTCGTATTTAGAACGTGTTCATAATTACCATATTTGGCGGGCTTCAGTAAAATGCGCCAGTCAGTAACTATTGCTCATATATTTTATTTACTTATCCACCGCGTTTGTATGAAAACAAACCAGGAATAGCTTTTTGTCAGTAAACTCATACGTTAATTACATTTTCACTGTCCCATGTTGTTGCCGACTTTAAAACCACGCACCACCACTATTTTCAGAACCATCACCTATATTAATTATCCCACCCAGTCATTATTACAAAACTATTATGGCCAATTACCCCTACCATCACTGCCATTATCACTACACTCGCCATTATTGTTTCCAAGATTCCTATTGCAGACGAGGAGTCACAATAACGCGGCTGAAATATGTTGACCAAATCACACTGGAAAGTGAAGGGACGATGACGTTTCGGTCCGTCCTGGACCATTCATTCTCAAGTCGATCCTATTATTTCTACCGCCACCATAATAACACTTCCACCACATTCACTTCCATCACAGTCACTACCATTACCACCACAATCATTATAATTGTCACAATCATTATAATTGTCACAATCATTATAATTGTCACAATCATTATAATTGTCACAATCATTATAATTGTCACAATCATTATAATTGTCACAATCATTATAATTGTCACAATCATTATAATTGTCACAATCATTATAATTGTCACAATCATTATAATTGTCACAATCATTATAATTGTCACAATCATTATAATTGTCACAATCATTATAATTGTCACAATCATTATAATTGTCACAATCATTATAATTGTCACAAACATTATAATTGTCACAATCATTATAATTGTCACAATCATTAAAGTTATCACCATGATTACTATCATTGCCACAAACACTACCATTACCACACGTAAAAAGAATTTGTTCAGTGTCAGAGTAGTTAACAAATGGAATGTATTAAGCAGTGATATGGTGGAGGCTGACTCCATACACAGCTTCAAATGTAGAGTTGATAGAGCCCAGTAGGCTCCAGAATCTGTACACCAAATAGAGTGTACAATAGTATAGTGTAAATAGTACACCAAATTGTCGCAAATAGAGTGGTAGACGGTTGGAACAAGTTAAGTGAGAAGGTGGTGGAGGCCAAGACCGTCAGTAGTTTCAAAGCGTTATATGACAAAGAGTGCTGGGAAGACGGGACACCACGAGCGTAGCTCTCATCCTGTAACTACACTTAGGTAATTACACTTAGGTAATTACCAGTTGACTGACAGTTGAGAGGCGGGACCAGAGAGCCGAAGCTCAACCCCCCACAAGCACAACTAGGTGAGTGCAATTGCTGCCACTACCATTATTATTTCAAATTTACCTTTTATTTATTTTATAATTGGGCTTGAAATAGGCACAGTTCTCAAATTTTCAGGTGTTTATGTGATGTCTTTGTGAACTTTTAAGTATTCTAAATACCCTCCCATATTTATCTTAAAAGTAGTTTTATGCAGTGAGGAGGACACATGTCCTGTTCCAGGTGAGTACGACAGGCACACCATAGCCCGTGCTGGTTGGAACTTTTTGTTCCAAGTAGCTGAATCTAAAGCAACAGCTGCAGCAACAGTTGGTAAAAAGTGTTAATCTTGTCATTACCAACTGTATATGCTGTGGGATTATGTCCTACCTGAAATGCAGTGCATACTAGTGGCTTTACAAGAATGTAAACACATCATGCTATGTACTCTCATGTACCCAATGGATCTTCTTGTATATATATATATACAGTAAATAAATATATTATCTGAATGTTTCGATAGCTCCATTATTCCTGTGACCCAGTCTTCGATCAGAATATTTGTGTGCTGTATCTTGAATTTCAATGTTAAATTTAATCTTAAATTACCTGTTTTCAGTGAGCAGGAGAGGGATGCTGGTGTGCCTTAAGAAGGCTCTGACACTGTGGTGGCGAGCTTGCAGAGGTTAGTGGCAAGCAGTGGGACTGCACTGAGCACAGAAGAGAATGGGAAGTGCCTCATCTAAGTTCAAGAAGTATCTTCAACATGGCGATGAATTTGCTGCTATGCAGGTACAATAGTATTAATGGTAAAGCAGTAAAATATTTATCATATATGATGTTCACAAAAATATACCAGTATTTGTCCAAAAGAATTTCAGAGAATATAGATGTTAAAATCAGAGTATTATCAGAGGCGGGGCCATGGGGACGTTGATCGTTGACACCCCGAAATGGAGTCAACATTTCCTCCAGGCACACGAGAGCTTATAGGAAGAGAGCATCATTTGGAGGAGCTTTGAACCTTCAGATGCCAAGTCCTCAGGAACATCTCGAAGAAAGAAATGGGACAATGTGAGGGATGAATCCAGTATGTGTGTGTACTCACCTAGTTGTGTTTGCGGGGGTTGAGCTCTGGCTCTTTGGTCCCGCCTCTCAACCGTCAATCAACAGGTGTACAGATTCATGAGCCTATCGGGCTCTGTCATATCTACACTTGAAACTGTGTATGGAGTCAGCCTCCACCACATCACTTCCTAATGCATTCCATTTGTCAACACACACACACACACACATTTGTGTGTGTGTGAAATGGAAATACAGTATTTGATGAGAGGATGGGTTCTCACCCTGGGATTGTTTGCCATCTTGTGGCAGGTGAATGTATCTAGGCGGTGATTTTATAGTTGCTTGCTTTGGAGCATAGTGGTTCTATGATGTTCTCTAATGGCTAGGCTCCCATTTGCCTTATTTAGAAGGCATGATTCTGGTTCTGGATCCTGATAGGTACTGGGTCATAAGAGTCCTGACACATTCCAGGCTTGGTTGCTTTTAGGTTGTTGTATTGCTGAGCTACTGAGGGTCTTCTTGGAGAAGATATTAATTTTAATTATAGAATTTTCTCAGGATGAAGTAAAAGTTTTAGTTTTTAGATTAGTGAAATTGTTTTTACCTAATTGAGATACACTAAGATTGGTGATTAAATATATAATCTATGATTACTGTAAAATGCAATCGAACATTATCTTGTTGCCATTTATTTATATTACATTCTGCATTTTTTAGGTGTTTCAGAGTTCTCCTGAATTGCGGTCCAATCTTGATCCCAGTGCAAGTTATGGTGAATCTCATGGCCACAATACTCCTTTACACTATGCAGCTAAACATGGGATGAAGCATTTACTGAGGTTTGTTTGATAAAAGTTGATAATATTGTAAATATTTAATTTTTAAAAGTAAATGGGCAAGAATTTCCTTCCATATAGTGGAACCTCGATTCAGTGAATCTTCTGTTGGCACACCCACTTTCCATACCGGATTTACTCACCTTATTCGAAGAACAAGAGTTCGCCGAAGAAGGGGATGTGTGGATTTTCTTGGGATGAGTTCACAGTTGGAGGCAATTCCCTACACGGACATATGTATATAAAGTAGACAACATGGGCGCGCATCACCCACAACGACCCCTAAAGTTGCCAAAGCCTTGCCCACTAAAGCACACTCATTGCCACACCCGCTACACCCAGTACACCAGAGAAACACATACAGTTTGCTTACAGACGTTTTTGTGCTACATTGTTCATTGTGGTATAAAATTATTTGCAATAAAATGCTCTAAATGGAAATACGAATATAAGCAATAACAACCACAATATATATAAGCAATACCAATAACAAAGTATAAAGCGTAATATATTTATAAAAAACTTATACAAAGTGTTTGTACTTACCTACGGAATGATGATGGTAGAACAATAAGTTGAGCATTTGGTGACCTACTCCTCGGAATCCTCACTCGTTGGATCACCATCATCTGATGTCTCTGTCTAAATTATCACTGTTGAAATCACTGTCCCGTTCTTCCCCCTCAACATCTGACTCAATATCAGAGAATGCTTCAACTAAACCTGGGATTTTTGTTGGTGTAAGTCTCAGTGCTAAATTTCTTGTAAAGCATACATACTTATCTTATCCTCTTTGGTTGATTTCTTCGCTCTTTTCAGCATGGAACTGCTTTGCCCTTGACCATGATCCATCGTGTAACGTATATAAAGTGCTGAAAAGACATGGGAACAAATATAAATGCCGATAATAGCCGAGATTTGTAAAAGTTTGGGATGCGAGCAGGTGGCATGCCGGTCACAGCGAGGTAAGCAAAGGACTAGGCCCACCGCATGGCCTGACGATTCAGGATGCCATGTAGCATATGGAGGAAAGTGGGAAAACAATGGCGCTCATTTTGAAACCACCCAGAAGTTGATCGGATAAAAATGGATTTTTTTTTTACAAATATTTTAATACATGACGTGAGCCATAGTCACTCGCTCAGAATCGGGAGAAAAATGAGTGATGACAGGTGGCGGCAACGGAGTGCGATAGTGTTAGTTAATGTTGTATATAAATACTGATCTGGACATATTTATTTTTGCAAGAACATATTTGTGTTAGTTAATGTTGTATATAAATACTGAACTGGACATATTTATTTTTGCAAGAACATATTTATTCAACAAGGATATGCAGTACAGTAGCTATTAGTTTAAGAGTGCTTTTTCATAGTGCTTTGTTGCAATAATTAATTCATAACTATTTGCTCTCCTGAAGGACATTTCTCTGTGATCTTGGGGGTAATCCAAACAAGAAAAATGCAGATGATGAAAGTTCTGTTCATTGTGTGTGCCGTGTTGGCCAAGCCAAATCACCTTCTGCAGAAGACAGACGTGCTGCATGTGTCATCATGATCCTTCAGTGGCGTGGGCCAGTGCTACAAGATGGTGAGAAGGAAAGGGCACAGTTAAATGCTCAGGATAAGGTAAGAATATTTGCAATACTGAAATTTCAAATTTATTTTATCCTTTTACCTTTTCAAGATGTATGTATGTCATTTTCATTCCATCATTAGCTTGCACTTCTTGTACACTGGGGAGGGGGGGGGGGTTGAAAATTGCATAAGCTACTCTATCCCTTTGAGATGTAGTTCTTTCTTATCTCAATAAACATACTTGAACTTGATCTTGTACACTATTTCAAGCTCAAATATTTCTACCTTTGCACTGGCAGCCCAGTGGAATGTAAGCAGTAATTATTCTTATTCAGATTAGGAATGATAAAAAATTAAACAGATGCAAAATTATAAGCAATACGGCCCTAGCTGTCATTGATTATCACAGTTTTCATATTTCTTTGTTTGATAATATCCACTCTCTTACCAAAAGTGTTTTCAAACCAGTCCAAAATATTGTCTGTAAAGCATCGTTTTGTAAAGTGTAGAAAACTAATAGTGAATGCAAGTTATTTTTCATGGCTCTAGGTTTTGCAACCTTCCCCATGACCACACACTTTGTCCTGTGAGACCCATCGGTAGTTGTATAGAGCGTGGCTTGGATTCTTGCTTTGCTCATTTTTCTCCCACGAACACAGCCTAACAGTCAAGATTTTACTTGGTACCGCTCTTCATGAACCAAGTCTCATCAGTATTGTGCACATGCAAAAATGAATTGGAAGTTTTTTGCTCCTGTACCCCTCTTAAGCGAATAAAAAAGAATGCACCCAAAAGTAAAGAAAATTACCCAAACTTATAAATCTACCTCTGTGCTGGTTTTATAAGGTGTACTATTGGTCAAAATTTTATTTAGACCACCTACTTATAACATTTCACAACCACCTGTTGGGGTAAAATGAGGCTATGCCTGAATTGTGTCCATTGTCAGATGTGAATATTAAGCTGTATTGAGAGCTCTAGCACTGAGAATGGTAATTATTTCATCACAACGATGATCAAACTTTGAAGAGCATCTCGGTCATTCTCGGTGCTAGAATTACTAATATAGTTTATTATTCACACCTGATACTATAGACATAATTTGAATACAACGTTGTGTGATGGGTCTCTTAACACACCAACTAACATTATAAGATGCCAGGAGGCCTGAAATTGAAGTATATGTTCTCTCACTGTGGCTGTTAGGGTAATAAATGTTGAACAGCATGTCTCCCATGACTGTTGAGCAATGGTGTTTACTTAAGAAATTAAAACATTAAATGACGTTAACTGTCATTGCTTAGGATAACATCACATGTCGGCTATCATTTTAAAGTTATAAAAAATATTTAATACGAGTTCTGATTAGAATTTGTTTGGTGTGTGGTGAGATAACTTTGATTTAATTTGTTCTTATTGTTTAGTATTTTATACCCAGTAGACTTACATATAGTAATTATATTTGTCATAATTATAGGTGCCATAATATTGTTTATCAAGTTACTTTTATTCTTGTTGCAGAGGGGAAATACTGCACTTCACTATGCATCGTCTTCAGGACTTCGGAAGTGTGTAGAATTGCTCGTGGCTCAGGGAGCTGGACTCTTTATTGAAAACCGTGATAGATTAACACCCTGTGATCTAGCTGTTAGATCAGCACATCATGACGTTGCTACGTACCTGGAGTCTCGCATGGTGTTTGTGAGTCCGACTTCTTTGGAAATTATGGAACTGTGTTTTATTGTTATCCTTAACCTTTGTGATGCTGCACGTTTAATGTGAAATTCTCCCTGTGCGCCCAAAATCAAGTGTTTGCAAAAAAAAATTTTTCTTTGTAAAATGATAAATTTCCTTCCCTGAACATGTACATGTAAAAAAAAAATATCCAATTTCACTTATTTTGGCTTTGGTTTTGTCAAGAATGTGGTGCGTGGCGTCATTACGGGCTAGTCGCCCGTCCACAATAAATGTTTATTGTCGCAATATTACTTGTTCAAAATTCACTAAAATTACAATATGTACAGTTTCACACTATTTATACAGTCACACACTGTATTACACACTCAGTACTTTGAAAGTGAGTGATAATCAAAGAAGCAATCTATGGTACACAGCGCGACTTCGCTCTCGATGCACCACGTACAAACAGATTTTCGCTTCCTGTTTCTTCATTCTGTGTGCTTGCAAATAATGCACTCGCGTACACCCTTGGCTTTAGTACCTGTAAGTGGTATGTAGCCAAGCTTGTGAAGTGTATGGTAGTCATGAAAAAATTATAGGAAAAGATCAGTTTGTAAGGTAGTCTTGAAAAGATCGCCTTGTAAGGTATTCTGGAAGAGATTCGGGTATTCTGGAAGAAATTCAGCTATTCTTGAAAATATTGATGGAAAACACCACCATAGAAGCCGCTAACACCATTCATCTATGCTATTTGTATGAGATGCATCATCACTGAACCCAGAGAACAATTCATCTATAAAAATTGGAGATTAACACTGGTTAGCATGGGTGCTCAGCTACTACTGGATACGCTCGCTGTATCAACCTCATCGGTGCTGTATCACTTTCATCCGACCCTTATGTTTGATCCTTATTGTGCCTAGAATCATCAATATCATGACCCTTCTGGTTTCCAAACAATATGGTCTGAATTTCACCGACAGAGAGCAGTCTTTCAACACCGCGTCGGACAGGTGTTCGGGAGCCAGGGGCATGTGCGCCACCACCCATGGTTGCTCACTCGCAACTAAGCCAGCCAGCAGCCCTAGGGCATTCTGGGATTTTTTCCAAGATGGCTACCTCTCACTGGAGGTCCCAAGTGTCCATTTCGTATCCAACCTACCGCGTACGCATTTGGAATGTGTACGAAATATTAAAAAGGTGTTTTCTCGCTTCACACAATTTCCAATGGACTGAGTTTTCTCAGCCAGCACAGTCTAGTGGTTAATGCTCTGTAATTTTGTTTTATATTGAATATATATTTTTTTTATACTGAATGTATCATTTTTTTATACTGAATATATACAGACATTCTCTGATAGATATAGATTTAGAGCAAATTTTTTCCAAATACAGGTACAGTATTAGATTGGTTCTTTTAATGCTCATGGAAGTATTACTGTGATAGAAGTTTTCCTTCTCCATCAGTGTTCCTTTTCTTTGGCTGAACTCGCACAGCCGTGGTAGTGGTGGTCCACATAATTTTCTCCACCTCCATGTTACCCTTGCAGTGAACACAGCACTGTTCTTGTTTTTTAAATTATACTTCATGTCATAATTCATATTTTGCTGCTATTTTCCTTGTACTTTTACCAGCATGTACTTGCTGAGTAGCCTTCAGCCCCTTATGTTTCGGAGTAGAAACACCTGGAAACTGCTTCATTTATTTTACAGCAAACAGTCATATTGAAATATGAAAGTACCTGAGTAGGAGAATTGAGGCAGATTGAAGTTGGTGAGACAGATTTAGACTTTCTTGCTAATGGGCAATTTGTTTTTATTAATGGTAGCTTGGTATAAACCAAATAATTATTATTGCAAGTAGTAAAATACTGTGCTGCAAATTACTTGACTCAAAAAGCAGAGAATGTGAACTAAGATGTTGCACAGACCTTACTGTACAACAACTGGTAAATTTGTAAAACTTTTGGGTGTCTTAACAAATGGTTAAGTATTTTTGTGGGGTGAGGTTATTTCAGTTTTATGACCAGTACATCATGTATAATGCAATAGGGTACAATCACTAAAAGTATATAAATGAAAGCAATATAGTCCTTCTGACTTTTCCTACGTGGATGACATTTGGATGAGGAATTAAGTAGACTGCTGTAAAATTCACACGATTGACAGAATCTATTTTAGTGGTTTACTCTGTAAAGGTAAACCAGACAAGAGACATTTGCTAGGAAGAATGTATGGAGAACTTTATATTTATTTTGGTAGAATCTTGATTGTTATTATTCCACTTTTTATTTTTGATGGCTTTACTCGGCATACACTTTAGTTACAAGCCACCTTTAACTGCTTACCACAGCTTCCCAGCCTCTTTGGGTCAGGATTCTGGGACCTACTCTCAGTAGGCTGTGAGATGGTCACAGATGCATGGTGTGTAAGATTTGGCTCTGGTGCCTAAGGTCTGAGGAGCTACCAGATGCTATTTTGTCTGTAGGATAATGCCTCCCTACCCCATAAAAGGAAGAGTGGGGGGTTAAGACAGTGTGTGTATATACTAGTATTGCATAAATACCACGTGACGTGCATATAAGCCTTTTTAGTACTTTTTAGTACAGGAGTGTAGACTGTCTTGTAATTTAGTAGAGCAGAGAAAATTATTAAAAGAATTATAGTTTATTGAAAGACTTTTAGTATAATTTTGTACAGCTGTATTACCAATATCTTGTTTGGCTGCGAACCCATGCAACATATTGGTACTAACTTACAAGATGGGAATTCAATCCATGCTTTTTAAACTAGAGTTGTTACATGCATTTGGAAAGAAATAGACAAGTTATGAAAGATTTTGAAGTTATTAATATATGTGTGTAATTTAATCTTACTCTTCATAACCATTAAGACATGAAAATTCTTTCTTGGCAGTGTGTATTGAGTACTTTTACAGTGTTGTATGACAATCTCCTTCAGATATTATGATGGAATACTAATGAATAAATAAATACTAAATTTAGCGTATATGAAAATATTGTGTTAAAGTTCAGTGTCGTGGTAAAGATGATAAAAGTTGATACCTTGTAAAGAATGAAGAAAGCCTAACTTGTAGGCTTGCCTGTTATGAAATAGAAATAAAAAGTAGTTGGAACTTGATTTACAAAAACAGTAAATTAAAACTCAATAAATGTTAGCGAGTAATGCTAATTTAAGAGCCTAAGTTTGAATATAAGTATTTTTAACTTTGTTATAAATAATCTTGATATAATTTTTGTCCTTGTATAGGCTGACAGTAGCGACGGTGTTAATGAGGGAGAACTGGTGGGCAATGAGGTTGAGACGGAGTGTGACAATGAAGTATATTCTGGTCTGCGGGCACAAGACTTGCAGGAAGCAAAAGACCAATTACTCGTTGAAACAGCAGATATGCTGCATATTCCTCTCTTTACTGCCGAAGCACTACTCAGGGATAATGGTGAGTCAGATTTGGTTTTAGAAATGATGACCATTGTTTATATAACATTTTGGCCTTGATTATTTAAAGCCCTGTTATCAGAGCTGAAAATAATAAAAGTATTGTGCTTCCATGATGCACATCCAGTATATTAGTGGTTTTGAATGTAAGTACGTCCTCAAAAATCTGGATCACATAGTTTAGGAGGCAACAGATGGCAGTGTTTACTAGTGCTGGTCACCAGGTTTAAAGGCCAGAGGACAGGTTCTAAATTATATTATTTGTAATTTTTTTTTTTTTTAGTAGATTATTGTGGGGAATGAGGATTGTTTCATTCGGCAATCAAAGTCGATTATTCCAGTAAAAAGGTTAAAAGTACAGCATAGTAAAAGCAGTTGGAAGTATTTCTTTACCAAATCGAATGGCTGACAATAAATTTTCCGAAAAGACGACACACAGCATAATAACTGAAAGTTTCAAAATATATATGAAAAATAAAATATATAGGACACCTTGAGGATGGCTCTTCTCTTGTAAACACAAATAAATTGTGTACCATTGGTACTATGTTCTAAAGCTACTGAAAAGTATATAAATATTTATTATAAAGATGTGCAAAGGAAGATGAGACATTTCATGCTAGAGCCCTTATCTAATGAATCACAAACAAGTAACCAATACTCAACCTATAAATTATGTGAAAAGATGCTAAACTGAGACAAAGAAAGAGATCTAGGGAAGGTTGTGGACAGTAAACTATCACCAGTGAATCACATCAAAGGTCTTGTGAGAGGAGCCTATGCAAATATCAAAATTACTTTTAAATTTATGGATGGGGGAAGTGGTACAGAAACTGTTCACAGGATTTATGAGGACAAAATTAGAACATACAATTGTGTGCTGTCCATATCTTCAAGAAGCACATCAGTAAACTGGAAAAGGTGCAAAGGCATGCTAAAATGGCTTAAAGAACTGAAAAACAGGAATTACGAAGAGGGGCTAGAAGCATTAAATATGCCAAAACTAAAAGATTAAAGAAAAAGAGGCGATATGATCACCACTTACAAAATAGTGACAGGAGTTGACCAAATTGACAAAGAGGAATTCCTGGAACTGACAACTTCAAGAACAAGAGGTTCAAGATTCAAGATTCTATACTCAAGCTAAGGAAACAAAGTTGCCAAGAAAATATTAGAAAGTTTTCTTTTACAAACATTTGTGGTAGAGTGGTAGACGTTTTGAACAAGTGAAGTGAGAAAGTGGGGGAGGCCAAAACCGTCAGAAGTTTCAAATGTTATATGACAGAGTGCTGGGAAGATGGGACGCTACACATGTAGCTCTCATTCTTGAACTACACCTAAGTAATTACACAATGGATTAAATTCCAAGAAAGGGTAATGCATGCCAATACCAATAACATTTTTATTACTATTTATGACAAAATTCACAAAAGATTGTAGGTCACCAAAAGCATAACTCTTATTTATTTTATTTTATTTTATTTATCAATACTCATACAAAAAAGGTATGATATTGTGTTAGTGCAGATTTTGGTGGTTAAATGGCATATTACTGCAGAGCTATTAATATGCATAGTAATCTTCCAGTAGTTATAATTAGGAACTGTAATTACAGTAGATACAAACTTATTAATTATTGTACTGCATTGAAATGATTTGGATTTCATGTAGAAATGTTTGGATTCTACTTTCCATTTTTTCTCAGAATGGTCTAAGGCATTGCTCTTGGAGAAATGGATGACAAATGCTGTCCAGTGCTGTGAAGTGGCAGGCATAGCCCCTCCAGCATCTGCACTCCAGCTAGTTGCTCCTACTCCTCCAATGGTTACTTCGACCCTGTCTAACAGTGTTATCACGCCTCCACCTCCACACATTCCAGGGAAAAGCATAGCTGATGAGGTGGAAGTAGAGGGACAAAACCTGGTAAATCTGCTTGTTATTTTTGTTTGGTACCTGAATAATATGCAATATATATACTCGTTATCATAGACATTGCTACTGTTTACTACTACAATAAGTTTGAAGGCAACCACAAGGAAAGCTATTATATAAATAAAGAATTTAATATATACAAAATAGTGCTATACCTTCTATTATATATACAGTATAAAGAGTTTGTTTATGTTACATTTATAAGCCCAGATATTTGCAGTCAAATAGCTTGTAGAAAACGTATACAAGAGGGATTGTAAGATGTAGATGGCATTTATAGACTTGTAAAATGCATATTTTAAATATATACAAAATGACATGATACATAATAGTAAATTCACTTAATTTGTTAAAAAGTTTTAATCAATGTACAATAATTTGCACTTTGAGTAGGTGGATCAAGGGTGATGCTAACTCAGCCACATCCTGACGCTTGGCCTCGGTGATATATCGCTTGGATGAGTAATCCTCACTTAATCAAACACGTGTGTTCCACAGACATTGTTTATAATGAACACAATTTGTTTGGATCATCCAGGAATTTGAGTGCAGTTCTTTAGAGTGAGGATCTACTGTCCATGCATACATACATTATGTGTGCACATATACATACACAGGTGATGCAATCAAAATAGTAACAGGAATTGACAAAATTGACAAAGAGGAATTCTTGAAACCTGGAACTTCAAGAACAAGAGGACATTGATTCAAGCTAAGGAAAGAAAGGTGCCCACAAAAAATTGAAATTTTTCTTTTGCAAACAGAGTTGTAAATGGATGGAACAAGTTAAGTGAGAAGGCAGTGGATGCCAAAAACATAAGCAGTTTAAAAGTGTCTTAGGACAAAGAGTACTGGGAAAACAGGACACCACGAGCATAGTTCTCATTCTGTAACTACACTTAAGTAATTACACATACATACATAAATACATTCATACAGTATATATAAATATATAATTTATTTAAACTTTGTATGGTTTATAAAGCTATAATAAAGTAATGATGCTTCACTAAATCATTTTCAGTGTGAGATTTGCTATGGAGAGATGAGAGCATGGGAACTTGGAGAACATGGTGGCACAAGTTGCCAACATCAGTTTTGTGCCACATGCTGGGAAAGTTACCTTACTCTCAAAATACAGGAGGGCGGCGCACATCACATCCTCTGCCCTGCCGTCCGTTGTAATATCCTAGTGGATGTAGATTTTATTGAAAAGATGGTTAGTCCAGAGATAGCAAGAAAGTACTTGCAGTTTGATATTCAAGTGAGTATTTTTGTTTTGACTATTATATTTTTTTTAGCTAACAAAGAAAATAAATCAATAAATGAATAAATAAATAAATGAAAAGGGGAGGTGCATTCCTGTCTCGTGCATACATGTCATGACTCCTGAATTTTGAAATTAGGGAGCAAATGTTGGTATTAATTTTTGAGATCTGTTTGCATATAATTTTAATTATAATTTTTATTTTCCAGGCATTTGTTGAGAGAAACAAGACAATCAAATGGTGCCCACTTCCAGGATGTGGCAGGGCAGTTAAATTTCCAGAAGCTGAGCTTGAAACACAGCCTTTTTATTTTCCAAACACTAAGCCTCCACCAAAAACATCTCATGCTGTTGACTGTGGCAATGGACATTTTTTTTGTTGGTGAGGATATTTGATTATTCATATTTATATACACATTATCATTCCCTTGTCTCCCACTTTCATGGAATGGGAAGAGAAACCTGGAGAAAAAAGCGAGAAACATGGCGATTCTCATTCGGTACCTTTGGGCTTTTTCTCGTCGACAGTATGAGGTGGCCTTGTGCTGCTCTCCTGAATGGTACTCTGAACTCTGCCAAGTCTTCTCTATCTTATTTCTTCTGCCCTTCTTTATCTGGCTTTTTGTGAACAAGCAGCTTATGCCCAACACTATTTCAAATACTGTAGTGCCATTCTGGCAGAGTCACCTCAGCGCAACATGGGCATGACCTCTCAAGTTCTCCATTCTTTAAACTTGGTCGTGTTTTTTCAACATACATCCTTTCCATCGGCAGTTGAAAGTCATCTGAGCTTTTGATAATGTTACTTATCAGGGTCTACTCATTATTCAGTGTTTCTTACAACTTTGTTTCTTATTACCCCTAATACTGGCCAACATTGCATGATAAGCAATGTTGGCCAGTGCCAACCTGAAGAACCCAAGAGAATGTCTCGCCCAACGTAGAACACTGAATCGTACTCAAGATAACTGTACACAACAACGTCAAGCACAAAGGCAGACGAACCTATCATAACAGCCCACTCAAAAAGAAAACCAAGAGATTTCTGAGTGAGGAATGCTTGTCTGCAAGCTGCCTGGACCATTTCCAGACAAGCGCGCGCACACACACACACATCCTAACATATGTGTACATCAACAAATCCTCCTAAAATTATAGTATTGTACATATAGTGACTATTTGGTCAAACATACAAAAAGGATTGTTGCGACCAACAATGTTCATGTTCTGTATGATTAATTTTGAGGGCTTGAAAAAACCCATGTAACAAACTTAAATATTCCTAAGCCTAGTATAGCACATATATATATGATAATATGCCTAGGATAGCATATATTATATATATATATATATATATATAAAGGCCTAAGAGTGCATATATTAGACCTATGATAGGTCTAGGTTATTTATTTACTAGGCCTAGGAAAGCACATAATAATCCTAGGATTGCTTACTTATACCTTGGACAGATTAAGTTAGATCAGGTTCTTTAGTTACTTTTACATTTTTTTTATTTTGCCTTTTGGGCTAATTCAGTAGTACAAAAATGTGAACTCTTTGGGGTCCAACAATACATTATTGGAGGAAGGCTGACATTAGAATTATGCAGTTTGTTTTTAACCACTCAATATCCTGTTATTTTTGGACATAATTATTGTGTTACTTGGTTATTTTATAGGAGTTGTATATATTTCCTGAATCAATTTCAGATTTAAAAGTATTAATAGTATATTGTACAAATAAATCAGTTAGATGGTGAGTAAGTAAATGTTTGTAAAGTATGCATATCTTTCCAGGGAGTGCTTAGGTGAGGCACATTCTCCCTCTGGATGTGAACAGTGGGTTGAGTGGCAGAGCAAAGTGGCAGAAATCAAACCCGAAGAACTCCGTATAAGTTCGGGTGAAACAGAAGATGCTGCTAATTTTCTTTGGCTTGTGACAAACTCAAAGCCATGCCCCAATTGCAAAAGTCCAATTCAGAAAAATGAAGGGTGTAATCACATGAAGTGCTCAAAGGTATGTTTCTAGTAAATCTCATGACAAGAGATTGCACTTCACTCAAAAGTAATCACGAATGTATATCTTTTCTGAACTAATGCTCCTCTCTATCTCCATTCAGTAAGTGGCTTATAGAGACACATTCTTCTTGGCAGGCTCTAATGACTTGTTCACCCATCATGACCAGTAACATTTCGTATAGTCAGGTCATGTAGTTGAGAAAGGGAATGAGTGGTGCAACCCGTCCTCGACTCAAGTCCATTACATTCAGCGGTCGATCCCACAGACGCATTCATAAATTTTTACATGCTGTTAATTCAAAACGGGAAATTTTTCAAACATAAATTAATATTATAATATGTTAGCATATTCTGGATTTATAGGTTAGGTTAGGTGTTTAGGTTCTGTTGGCGATTATTTGTATTTGTAATACGTGGGTGAAGCATTTACAGCATTGGGATTCGAACAAAATTCATCAGTGAAGCACTTGTTCCGGAAGGGTTTGAACGAAATCAGTTGAGTCATGTGTAAACCGTTTTTCATTCATAAACAGGGGGTTTGGCGGGTGTATGGAATCACTTTGGGGTTTTGTTTGGAGGACGAGCTGAGTGGTGAGTCGAACTTGTGCCATCACTTACAAGACAAAAGAATGAACACTAGATAATACACCCCTCCAAAGTCCAAAAGCTTATTAAATCAAATGTAAATTATCTTTCTGTTTACTACTGGCTTGTCATTGGCAGCTACCCCTGGCTTTCATTAAGTGGCAGCACTATCACCAAAAAAAAGTTGGAGCAGCCAGTAATCTCCTTGTTATGTGGTGAGCCATGCTTCCTTCTCAAGATCTGAAGTGGCCATTAACCTTTGGACATAGGTTATCAATTTTTTTAAGAAACATAAATGACAGACTGTATGTCGAAGAAAACCTGCTTTATGTGAGGACGCTCGAGAAAACTTCCCTTAGTAGTGTTTTGCAAAGTAAAGAGTATTAGAGGGTTCTGCTGGCCTCATGCTCATTATCATGCATATTTATTATATGTTGTCATTCCACACTATAAGGGAAGGGTGCTCAACAATACTCAAGCCAATCAAGCCCAGAATGACCTCAAGATGGATCTCCAAGCTTTATTAAGGCTGCCTTTTTCCTTAGATTTTGTACATAGGGCATGTATGTCTCTACTTTGCAAAATGATCAAATTGAACTTATTGGCATATCTTTATACATATAATCATTGGACATTTGTCATTTTCTAGGCATTCTTCTCGCTGATATTCTCTCTCAACATCCAAGCTCGGGAATATATTAAGATTGATAAAGATAAAACTCAATATAATAAAATGACATCTACTGTATTAGAGAGGAAAGAGCTAGGTTGTGTTATTGTGCATGCAATACTTATTTGCTTAAGTAGTAAAGCAATAGTGTATTAAGTTATATTAATTTTGAGTAAATTACTACAAGTTGGTATGTTATGTCAATATTTCCTTCAGTGTAAGTTTGACTTCTGCTGGGTGTGCCTAGAAAGCTGGAAGAAACACTCATCGGCTACTGGAGGCTACTTCAGGTGCAACAGATTTGATGCGCAAAGTAAAGCTGACGAGAAGCTGGGTGTGCTGCTGTCTGAGGTAGGTGTATATTTCCCAACATCACACTTGTATTCATCTTATGTACAGTATGACCAGTAAGATGTCCATAATTTGTTTGTCAAATATCTTGTTAACACTTGGGTGGTCCAGCATCTCTGCACATTCCTGAATTTAAATGTTCTGGGCTCCTCGTGGCCACTCAGCGTTGCACAAATATTTTTAGTTATTTTACGTTTTCTAACTGGATTATACCTATAAATTTTGTGTCAAAATGTTTGCAAATGAATTGTTCAGTGAATAGATGTAAATAAGAAAGTTCATTTATAATAGTTATGCCCCTCTGTGCATTCCTGAGTGTAAACAATGGGCTTGGTCTGTCCGGCTCAGCGAGGCTTAAAAATGTTTACAATCGTTTTATGTTTTTCTCAGCTATTTGTTAGGATATAATTATAAATTTGATGGCAAAATGTTTGCAAATGAATTCTCTAGAGGACAGAAGGAAAAATCAAGTGTATATATGAAAGAAATGCAACAGCAATGAATATACGAATGTTTTTGAATAGCAGTAGGTTAATGTATTTTAGCATCACTGGAACATTTACCGTCGGAATACGGATGATGCGTTTTGCATCATCAGAATGCAAAAGTGTTAATATATACAATGGCATCAAAATAACTCTTCTTTCCTTAAATTCTTTTTGTTATTTGTGCAGTTTTTCTGTCATTGCAATTGGAAAAGTTATGGATGAGTTATTCTGCCTTAGTATTTTTGATATACTGTATTGGTTTTGACATTTGTGTGTGCTTTATCAAAACTAATAAATTTTTAGTAGGTATATCTTCTGCTTTCATTAAAATTAATTTTGAGCTTAAGCCACTTGGTTGCTCCAGCTTGAGCCAATGTGACTTTTCATCTCTAACACAGTGAGGATCATATCTGAAGATCTTACACCAGGTCATAACAAGAGGAAGGGAGGTACAGCAGAATTCTCAATCCAGCAATGAAAGACCATCAGAAGGGGCATTCTTTTTACACTTAAAAAAATCCTCTTCCTAGCAATCACACCACTAATGTAATCAGGAGCAGCTAGAAGTTACACCTCACTTTCATCCCAGGTTGAACACCAGTTGGTCAGCAGGAGATGTTTTCTTTCAATTAAGCAAGATGATTCACTGTGAATATTTGTTTTTTCTTGTGCAGTGGGCCATGGTTTAGAGAACACTTGGTGTGTGTGAATTTGCTGTTGTTTGTCTCTCTCAATCTTGATGGGCAGAGTTTTCTTTTCTGTCTGTGTCGGAAATACATTCAGCAGGGGGTTTCTCCTTTTAAGTTGTCTCTTCCTCACGCAGGTACCCAGGACTCTGGCCCCGGGCCTAGGTGTTTGGGCTGTGCACGAACAATTCAGGTTTGTTTGGTCAACTTACCCCATCCCTGAGGGTTCAGATTAAGGTGACACTTCTCCAATTATCTACAAACCAAAATTAACCATAATAATCTAACACATTCTTTTGTAACCTAGCCTTCACCTAGTCAAAACGAATATAGCATAACTCCTAACCTGTAAAGAAAATCTGAAAATGCATGGCTAAATGTTGGAGGCAAGACCAAGCGCCATAATTGCTGCCTGCTCTTCTATCTGCCTCTCTCACAGCAGTCATCCTGCTGCAACATAATTTACAATACTTACAATATTTAACTGGGCAATAAAGGATCCTCACAGGGGTGACAGAATGTAGAGAGCAAAATTTTTGGACATAGTAGAAAAGCACTTTTTGAGGCAATGTATCATGGAACTGATACAAGAATAAGGAGACGACCCACCAGGTATACCGGACTTTGTGTTTACCCTAAAGGAAGCAAACATCAAGAACTTATGAGTATAAGAGGTAAGGATTCTCGTAAGAACCAGCTGTGTCTGCGACATACTGTTTAAATACATAGTAGAGTTGAAGCAACGAATCAAATCAAGAAATAGGTTGATGAATGCTGGAGACGATAGACGTCATGACCTTAGGAGGTTAAATGTCTGCTTCCAGGTACATAGTTTGACAAGAGAATAAATTAGTGGTAAAGACTAACAAATTCAGTAATGGATTTTACAGCCCAAAATGTGCAGAGGCCACAGAACAATTCATTCCACTCATAAAGGAAGTTGTTGAGAAGAGTAAGGTAAACCGCTGATTAAATATCAATGTGTGAGATGAGGAAACAAAGATAAAAAATGCATGAAAAAGTATGGAGAACTGGGAATATAAGTAAAGGAGGAGGTACTAAGCGACCCTGAGGTTAGTACACTAGAGTCAGGAGGGATAGCAGATTTGCAACTTAATAGCTGCATGGTAAGAATAGGAAAGAGCCAGCTAAATAATTGCATAGTCACATACAGATGAAAACAACAGTAACAGCTTATGTAATCAGGCTGAAAAAACAGGGAAGCAATGGAAAATGACAAAGTAGTGTAAGGAGCTCAACAAGAGTGAAGACTATGTTTTGATGACTATTGATGTCAGAAGAAACATTTTGCAGTATTGTAATCACTAAAGAAAAGGTAAATTGACACCTGGAGAAACAAGACATAACAAGAGGAGTTGAGCTAGAGAAGATATCATCATCATGAATATTGAAGGAAGCTGCAATGCTTTCAGTGAAGCATTAGAAACTGATAGGCTCTTGGAAAATGGTAAGGGTTTTCACAATAGATTATTAAAAGAGAACGGGCAGGAAGTACTTGACAAGTGTCACTAACAGGCATTCTTTGCAGAAATCAGAAAAAAGTAATTGGGAGAGATATGTGGAGTACTTGGAGAGAATAAACTTTGTAACAGATGGGTAATGTTGTTTTAGGGGGAAAAATTCATGCCTGACAAAGTTTTATTGGGTTCTATGACAGGGCTGCTACAATACACAGTAAGAAAGATGGTTGGGTTGACTGTACGTATCTTCAAAAATTATTAAAAAGTGTTTGATACTATTTCACACACAAGGCTAATAAATAAGAGGGATGTATGAGCTGGGTATAACTGATAAGATACTGAACTGCATATGGAAGTTCCTGATGGACAGGAAACAAAAAGGTTTATGTAGTCATAGAAGATATGTTAGGTTGGAGGGAAGTGGGGTGGAAAGTTGAATCCCACAGGGCTCAGTCCTAGGACTGTCACTGTTCCTAATCTGTGTGAATGACCTACCAAGGGAAGATCTTTGTACATGTACCTTTTTGCAGATGATATATATCTAATGAGGAAAATTATCCCTGTGGAGGGTTGTAGAGAGCTGCAAGACGTTCATGACAACTCTTTAACGGTAGGCAGATAAATGGCAGATGGGAAAATGAAATTGGGGACCAGAAAGATTCTACACCGTAAGTGGAAGGCAACTACAAGACTCAGAAAGATAAAAAGATTTTGGAGTGAATTTGACTACAACACTAACATCAGAGGCATACATATGCAGGATATTGTCACCAGCACATAGGAATCTAGTAAATTTAACGTCATTTAAAACAAAACATAAGACTCTTTATGACCTTAAACTACATATATGTTAAACCATTACAGGAGTATGCAGCACCAACATGGAATATACATTTTGAAATGCAGAAATATATTTAAACAAATTTGTTACTCAATAAAAAAAAGTGAGTTACAAACTCAAAAAAGTTGAGTTTGCAAAAATTTAATTCTAGAGTGTTACTAGAATTCAGAACAAATCTGAGGACAGATTCAAGGAACTCCCTCCTAACCTTAGAGAGAAAGAGCAGTGGCGATATGATCACTACAATGTATTGTATAGATAAGGTGGACAAGAATAGTATTGTTAAATTGAGAGAAAGTGTGTCAGATACAGAAGGCCAAGAGTTCAGGCATAAAGTGGTAGATCTTACTCCACCATAGTCACTTATAGATATACACAACACCATCACCACCACCACCCACTACTTCCATACAGTAGACTGCTCTCATTATAGGATCTTAAAATCATGGCGCCCTCTGTACTCATTACAGTACCATGTTTGTGTCTCGAGATATGTTGGCCCAGGTATACCTCTCTTGCACAGCTATGCGTAAACTATATCTGGTATTGTAGCTGTTAATTTACAGGAGTTAGGCATATATTACATAATGTTAGAAATTTTGTGAAGATAATGTAATTGCATACATCATATATGTAGAAAGTAAGCCTCATCAGTAACCATTTTCTTTACACAGGCGACTGTTCGGAATCATCAAATGCAAGAGCTGAATCGCTTTATTCACTACTATACTCGTTTTAAAAATCATCAAAATTCCTTAAAAATGGAAGAACCATTATTAAAAACTGCACGTGACAAGATGGAAGTTCTTGCAACATCTCTTCCTTCTCAGGAGCAACAAGGACAAGGTACATTGTGAATTATGTATGTACATTGTGTGTGTAATTACCTAAGTGTAGTTTACGGGATAAGAGCTATGTTCGTGGTGTCCTGTCTTCCCAGCACTCTGTCACCAGCACTCTGTCATATAACGCTTTGAAACTTTGAACTTGGCAAAATTCAACTTAAAAAAAACCTCTTTGCTGCCAGCTTAATCTGTTGTTGTCGTACCACCACACCTGCAGGGCACTACTACTGTATGTACTCTACTGGTACACAGCAGCAGCATCCAAATTTAAATGTTTTTCAGTTTTTAGTGGTCTGTCCTTTATATAGTTCTAGAACTAAGATCATCCCAGCTGGGAGCAAGCTTAACTCTTTGGCTTCGTGATAACGTTATCGCAGTCCTTAAATCAATACACATAGTTCGGCAGAGGACGTTAATACCTTCCGCAATTAAAATACTGTATTTGTAAAAATTTCATTTATTGTCAGATTATTATGGGACTGGTTTTAAAATGTGTGCTATTCTGTTGCTAAAATGAACGACAAAGCACAAAAATAAGATAAAAAACTGAAAAGAGTATAAACGTTTAGCTCATCCTCCTGTTTTGATAGTACTTAATGTAACGATGAGGACAATGGTATATATACTGACATACAACGAAATTAGAACGTAGAAATCTGAACAATTTAGTTGGACAAACCGGAAAACTATTTTTTACTTGTGTTGCTTTGACAAACTAAACTAATCTATCCTAACCTCCCTAGGCCTAATACATGATATCAGAGGTCTAATATAGTACACATGTGTGCTATACTAGGCCTAGGAATATTTAAGTTTGTGTTTTAGCTTCATTTATTTTAAAAGAATTCCTTGCTACTATCTAAAAGCTAAGAACGTTCAAATTCTGGCAATTGACTATCGTCACAATAGATACTATCTAAACAGGAGGATGGGTTGAAACCTTTGAGTGTGGCGGTGCTGGTCGATGATGTTACCTCCATTATTGATATAAAAAAATTTGCCAAAAATTCATAGTCCAATTAGTATGGGACTTGTTTTAAAATGCACACTATTCTATTGCCAACAATTTGATAATAAAATGAACACCATAATAAGAACAATAAGGTCAGAAAACTGGAAAGAGTATAAACATTGCAGTGCGACTGAGCGCTTATGGGCAACGCCCGGCCGACTTTGGCCTTTGCTGGGCGGTGTGCGTTCTTGCCAAGGCGACCTTGAGGTTACACGCCGGGCCAGAACCAGGGCAGCCAAAGTGTTTATACATGTTGTTTTCGTTTGCTTGTATTGAAAACAGTGCTGGTACCTATGGCATAGTCCTTCACCAAGCTTTTAATAATACAGGGACTCGTGTGTCATCACTACTCCGACTTTTCATCAATACTGTAGTTAGCATCTTTCTCCTTTTTTTTTTACCTTATTTAGCTTGACTAATGTTAGACATTTCTTCTACATGAAGATAGTCCAATTAAGTTAAACAAAAATTATATAAAATTTAAATATCTTAAAATACCAGAGAATCACCATGCAGTACCACAAGGAAAAGAGTGCATGTTGTGCATGGAAGAGGTCCAATAAGCATTCCCCCCTCCCCCAAATAAACATATATCACTTTTAATGTACAGTACTGTACTTGGTACATTACAGTACTTACTGTAAGTAATCAGAAAGAATTTTTAAAGATATATTCTATAATTTTTATTGAACAAATTTACTTATGGTGGTATAATGTCTTTTGTTAGCATTTTTAGTTATATTTCAGGTATGATTAGCTTGACCAACTTGATCGACTGGAATTTATGAAAAATTTGTGCGACACTTAAGATCAACCAGTTTTTGGCCCAGAATCTGCTGTGGTTGCTTCTGGCTTTCTAAAGTGTACATGCATAAAAGGTATGCAGGTATGCATGTACACTGGACTTCTCTCCAAATGCCTTCTGTTTGGAGAGAAGTCCAGTGTACATGCATACCTTTATCTGTGTCTGTACAATGCAGTTTATAAGCCACTAATCATATTCTTCCTTTCTTTAGCTGCTGTGGAAAAGGGCACTCGGTTTGTCGAAGAGGGAGTGAAAGAACTTCTGAAAGCACGGAGGGTACTCTGTGGGTCCTATGTGTATGGGTATTATTTAGAGGATAATGGGTATAACAAAACCATCTTCGAGTACATGCAGGTAATTATTTCCAGCCCTTGGTTTTTATCTGTCATATTAAAGTACATGTAGAGCTCAATTTTTATTGTAATGTAATGTATAAAGAAAAAATGAATAAGGATGATGATACTTGTATTAAGAGCACAAACTATCTTTAGAACTGGCAACATTAATTATACAGTTTTTCACTACGCTATCAAGAGAATTCATGATGTTAATCGAATGATAATCACTTGGATAATGAATGATAAACTTGGATCACCAACAAATTCAGATTCAGATTAATTTATTTGGCTTAGGAACAGTACAGTAAATCTTGAAATACATTTGGGGCAGCGTGACAGTTAGCTATGCCTGCTGATCTCTCGTTTTCCAGAAGACTCGCCTGAATTAGCTTACTAAACTAAGAATACAATAACTAGTTTCATATGGTTCCTACTTTAAGTATGTACATGAAATAGTGTATTCTACTGTGTGCTCAGTAGTATTTATGACAGATAACTAACCTAATCTACCCAAACCTCATTTGATGTACTGTATTATTATTCCAATACCTTACAAACAGGTGAAACAGTCTTCATAAAATTTACTCAATTTTTAGAATGAACTGGAAGAGGTTACAGAGAAGTTGTCAGAGATGGTAGCTCGTCAGTATCTTGTGACACCACGTGGGCAGATCATTGCTACGACCCTGCTTGCTCGTCGCAGGAGACACAAGTTTGTACGGGCAGTGAGTAGGGGTCTTTTACCCCCTGAGACTCCACCCTCGCTTCGTAGATCACGCAAGAGACGATTGCCTGGCCTTATGGGAATGGACCCAGCTGATGACGTGAGTTGTCAGGTGTACAAGTAGTTGCAATCAAAAACTTCCTCACAAATTTTTTCAATTTATAACTCATTAGACTTCACTTGTAGTTAGTGTAACTTTCACAACGCTATTGATGTGACCATTCATGCAAGTAACTAGTTTATGTATTTCCTGTAGATGCCTCAGTAGCTTTAGATGTTTTGATGCTTAATTTGACATTACTTATAATACTGACATTAATGAGATTACTTATGCAATATGGAAAGGCTTACATCCTGACTATATAAAATTGATGGTTGAATGAAAAGGGGAAAGCACTAAACACTTAAAAAAAAAAGCCTATTGTGTTAAAGGGCTCTATGGTGCACCATACCAGAAAAATAAATAAAAAATAGTACCAACAAAATAAAAAAAGTCGAGAAAAATTAGTAACCGATCCTGAACCCTTTCATGGTGTATTAATACGTACATCTGTTAGTTGTGGTGTTGGCAGGACACATCAAAGGAATTTTTGTGTCAGGGTTTGGATGTTAGCAGATACCAAATGGTTTTACTATAATTTGAATCCATTGGTGTCAGTAATTCAAGAGCTGACTGGGGAGACTGCAGTTCACTACCTCAGAAACTCTGCTTTTGCGCTACCGCTCACAGGATGAGTATGGGGTGCACAATAAACTAGCTGCCTTCGGCAGCAACAATCAATCAAATCAGAAACTTTACAGCTATGTTCTGGGTAAAATATTGAACAACAGTTTGCATTTAAAAGGCAAACACACAAACAATGATGTATGCTGCAGATGATGAGTCACAATAACGTGGTTGAAGATATGATGACCAAACCACACATCAGAATATGGAGAAATATCATAGTTTCTCCATCTTTTCATGTGTGTCTTGGTCATCGGTGATGCGTAATGCTATATTTTATTTTCCCTTTGCTCTATCATATAAATCTATCACTTCAAATGAATGCATATAATTTTAGTGAACATTATGCAACAGTGATTGATTGGGCAAGCATCACCACCTCCACAATGTTCACCTGCGGTCACCAAGTGAACATATCGGTAGATATATGAGTTTTCTGGGCTGGCATTTGGTAGCTTCCCAGTGAATTGGCTCTGATATTACATATTCCTATCAGGCCTTTGGACTTGTGCATGCCTACAACAAACCAGGACCAGTATACCAGTGACACCTTATTAGTATGAGGATTTGGGTGATGTTTGTCAGTGGTTAATGCAGTATTGTAACCTGGGCATGACTGTTGGTTTGCACAGTTGCACTCTGTAGCCAATATAATGGCACAAACCATGGGGTATTGAAGCCAGGTCAGGATTACTGCAGAAGTTTAGCTGACATCATGACATAGCATTACATTATAGGATTACATTATAGTATAGCATTACTGTACAACTGCATTTTGCTGCCTCTAGGGTTACCAAGACCAGCCTGTGCTACAGAAAAAAGTAAGTGAAAAATAATGTTTCATATTTGTTTTGTACATGTTTGTTAATGTATTTATATGCACACAAAATTAGTTGATCTGAATTTAGATTGAAAATGGTTGTATCAACAAGTCATCTCTGTTACAGAAATGTACTAGAAATAGAAATTTTTGGCGACAAAGGAGCTTATGAGAGTGTTTGCACCATCTTGTGAGGGCTGCTTAAGCATATTTTTAATTGTTGTTTTAAATATTTGTTTTTCATTAATCATTTGATCTTGAAAGTGGTAACGAAAACAGCAACATTTGATGCTCATTTTATAAGGATTTAATTTCATGCAAATAAATTACATTGTCTAATTGAGTTACTCAGATGTCTGAGTCTTGTCATTTTTATTTTTTCTAGCTTTTTCTTGGACTAAATGTAGATTCAGGAGCCTATTTTATCTATATAACTACAAGTAATTTATGCATCGGCATCACAATTAGTCCCGTCTCTGGTCATCATTTGTTAGACAGTAGTTAACATGATTATCATTTCTAACAATTGAATTAGATTTTCCTTCTTGATTAACCCCTGAACACTGCAAGCATTACAGGAAGCATTTATTTGTGCTGGAAATAAAAAAAAAATTCAAGTTGTTGTCCTATATTGTTAAAATGCCTTCCTGATCATGGGAAAATTTATATAAAAATCTGATCTCTCACGTTTGCTGTAATAAAGCTGTGAAGTGTCGGTGACATTAAATCTTGTTTGCTCATGCAGCAGGCGCCTGGCCATGTCACTCCTGTGAGCGTGAGGGATAGGTGTTTCTACTCATTGAATGCATGATTATTTTACTCATCCTACTTTAATGTCTTTTCAAGCTTTTTCAGTTCTATTATGAACTGTAGTATCAGTTGTGATATTTCTATCACAGAAAGTGTTGAACATCGGTACACACAGTGTCACGGTACATGAGTATCACTAATATGCTCACCATTTTATATTGTTATAACTAATAGCAATAGTATTTTTGCAGTTATCATACTGTACACATACAGTGGCAGCCTACTACTGGTACCAAGTTCACGTACTATGGAATGACTGTTCGTGTATCTATTTTGCTAAGCTTAGCACATCAAATTATCACTCTGGGTCATACAAGTCGCTTAGGGATCTCTCGTTTCTCTCTCGTAATCATAATTTTGATCTCTCATAATCGAATAATGTTTAATTTCACAGTGTGTAAGTAATATGGGAGGTAAGCCACATAACCTGGCCAGGAGTTTGAACTGTGTGGGCACTATTCATGATTAATATGTGTACTGATGCCTTGGAGCCAAGGTATCATATTCATGATTTTCTGAAGGGTTCAAACAATGGCTCCCTGTAACTAGCCACACTGAGATAGCTCCACACCTATAAGTTACACAAACCCTTGTGATTCCTTACAATACAAATACAAAATACAAAAATGTAGTACGATACTCATTCAAACTGAAGGACATGCTGTATATATTTTACATGAAAATATAAATATAAAATTTGCCTATTAGCAGCTAAATCATTGTAACTTGATTTTACTCTATTTTTACTATTCAAGTGCTTAGCAAACTCAGTTTTGACTTCCAGATGTTGAGGTCTCACTGGTTGAAGGTCTTTGACTTTTATATCCTACCAATCCACTAATATGGCCTCCTTGATTCTTTGTCCCATCTATAATATGGACATGTATTACCAAATTGGATTTTCACTGTTGGAAGCATAATTAGTCAAATTAATCAAGGGAGCTGTATTTTGCAGTTTGCAGTGTAGCTGTCTTTTTCCTTTCATTCTTCTTCACCTCACCCCACATCACCATTAATGCTCACACCAATTTAATCTTCAATTGTCATACCATAACTTGGGTTATTATTGCCTTCCTATTGAGTTCTATTGCTCCTGTACATCTTGTTGACTAATATTGAGCTAAGTTTGAATTGAAGAAAAAATTCAGAAAATTCTTCAGATAATGAGTGTCTTCTGGTATTATACGAGAGTGAAGAAGCACGGCTAGCTCGCTGGGTCAGAACAGATCCAGTCATTTTAGTAGGGAATTATGTTTTCTAACAATCAGTAGTTGTTTGTTGCAATATTTGATATTATTTGTATAAATTTCATGTTATTAGTGTGAGGTTTTATTTTACAGTATTTGTGAACAGAGGTATTGCATATCAAGCAATAACCCGACAGCAAAGCTCCATAATTTGTTCAGACTTGGTCATGGTCATAGTTGAGTTACTGAGACCCAATCAGTGATTGGTCTGTGTATAGAGCAGGGAATTGGGTGGGTGGCTGTAACACATGGAATGGTGAAGGGGAAAGCTTAGAAATAAAGAGTGAAGCCTTCCTTGACCTACAATTCTCTCTGTATTAACATAAACTTTCCAGTGTACCTGGTTGCATGTAGCGGATCCCTCCCAGTTTGCATCACGTTCCGTTAGTAGATGCTATCTGACTATTTTCACAATTCATTGATTATTTCTCCAAACTCTGAATTTGTGTGTTTTGGCCACAATTTTAGAACATTGATTAGAAAACAGTCAAAAACCATTTATCATCTCTAAAGATTCTTGGTATTATTATGCTCTTTGTGATAAGCCAGACTTGCATGTTTATGGCTGGATTTAGTGGATAAAATTCTATACTTCTATTAAACACCCAATCCACACGTCTAAAAATGAAGGAAGTGGCGACCTTTCGGTCTGTCCTGGACCATTATTAAGTCTGCATATATATGTTCTTACATATGTTTAGGAATGTCCAAACCATCTGGCATTATTTTGAACTGAGATAAAACTTTATGGTCAGATTTGAGAAAATACATATTCAGTATATAGGTTGAAAGTTGCTCTATTTCGACATTAGAAATAATGTGCATCTAATTCATCAAATGTGATTTAAATCTTTTTGCCTTTTTAGGTAATGTCACTACTATAGCTATGTCTCAGCTAATTTGGTTACAGAACTGTACTAATTTTCATTACATTGTACATTTGACACTTAGTGTGTGTAGTATATATTTATTTATTATAGTATTGGAACCGTTTCATGGTTGAAGCAGCCTCTTTTCAGTGCAAGAATGTGAGGGAAAAAATATTATCCTTCTATTCAACAGATCTTTCAGGAAAAGATGAAGATAAATATAGAAAGATTAAAAGTACAAAAATTTAATATCAAAGGGTAATCTCATTGATGATAATGCTTTCAATTTTGATTTCTCTCCTAAATTTTACTAACAGCATGCAGATCAGTGTGTAAATTAAGTGTGTAAAGTAGTAATAGTCATGCATGCAGTTTTGTATCTATAACATATTCATGCTTTCTCACATTTTTTCTAAGTTTGAGTTTTTAAGACCTGGATTATCTGTGATAACTTTATTATACTCTACAGATGGTACACCAGTGTTCATTTGGCCAAATTTTGGAAAACTGTTCATAAACATCTCAACACTACTATAACTAGCCGATAAATACCGTATTGTATAAACAAAAAATTGCTGAGGTATTCTTATTTTGTTGCATTTTACCTACTTGTTACTAATTCTGGGG